AACCCTTGAGGCACTTTTGACGCGCCCCTTCCTTTAAGGGCCGATTAAGGGGTAAGGGGTAAGTTGCACACATCTGGAACCCGAGGCTGCGGCTAGATATTGACCCGAGGAATCGATTGCGACCCTTATTTTGGCGATCAGACGAACCCTTGAGGCACTTTTGACGCGCCCCTTCCTTTAAGGGCCGATTAAGGGGTAAGGGGTAAGAGCTAGGGCCAAATAAAGGTCATATTCTTGCTCCCCGTCCCCCAATTGACCTAATATGAGTTTTTTAAGCGATTCCGAATCCGACGCTGTATTCGTTGCTGTTGCTGACGCTAACTTCACGGACATACTTACTCTCGGCGGCAAAATACCAGTTTCCATATTTCCCCCATTGCCTTATTGCGGAGAGGTCACGGGCCGACCTGACCTCAGGTGACCTAGATATGCAAGTTTTGAGATCTCTGTAGGATACTAGGTCCTGTACGTTTCACCTCCCTCATCCCTGTGAAAGGCGAAAGCTCCTCTGGCACTGAGGGCGTTGCAAAGTTGCTACACTACAGGACCGTGCAGAGGTTCACTTACGACGTCATAGATCAGTGACCTGACCTGACCTGAAAATGAAGTTGGTATAAAAAAGAACCCAGCTTGAAGCAAAGGTCAGGTGTGCCGAGTTTTAGCTCTCTACCTTCCACGTGCTCCGAGAGCTGGGAAAAAATAGTGTGGGCCGCGGGGGGGGGGGGGGGGGCGGCGCCCGCATCGCATCCCACTCGGCGGCGAGGGTTAACGCTCGCCGGCACAGGCCATTTTACGTCCTTCGATGGCACAAGGGGCGGGGGCTTGGTACGACCCCCCTCGCGTTTGGCCTCTGATCGAGCTAGAGCTTCGCGGAAAAAACGAGCGTGTTGCCCGTGACGAGAGGCAGCCGCCCGATAACACTCAATTGATGATATCCAAGGTCCTTGGTCATCGGTTGTTGACCTTCCAGGTCAAGTCAATGACCCAAAAGTCGGGAAAATTCAAAATCGGGATTGGTTGCAACGTCGTTAACCCGCGCCCCGTAGGGGGGGGGGCCGAGACGGCCCCCCCTGTCCTTTTCGGTCGATATCTCCTAAACGGCTGGAGATATCGCCACCAAACTTTCAGGACCCCTCCGGGCATCAATTTTACACATTGTGACCAAAAATTTTTCCAGAGGCTATGATAGGTTGGCCACAAATGACGTCAGAGTGACGTCATGTTCTGTCATTTTCGACCGAAAAAAGACCTTCGCGAGAAGACCTGTCAGGACTACAGCTTTGAAGATACAGAAAAATAATCCAGACATAAAAGGTGTAGAATTGACAGGGCTACAAAACTGCTATCTCGAATTTTTGAAATTTTTGAGTTTTGACCCCCAAAAATCAAAAAAGCATTTTTTTTATATATTCGCTAAAAAATCCAAAAAGTTTTTTGAGTTTCGAAAAAACCGGGATATGTGATAGTGCCTACCGTCTTCTATCTACATACCAAATTTCAGATCGATACCTCGTTTTTTGGCCAAGTTATAGCGAAAAAACTGTTCAAAAATGATGATGTCAAATTTTCAAACTCAATTTTTGGCAATGCTAGAACTCGTAGAGCAAAACGAAGACCATCATTAGACTCCCCGTGACGAGCTGCATCGAATCGATACCCATTTTATGCAAAAATATCAACTTTGAAATTTGACCTAATTTGACCTGACCATGACCTGACCTTCACAAAAACGTGACCTAGGCTGGCCCCAAAGGCTGCCTAACCCACATAATCGCATTTGTCATGTAAAATGGACCATAAAACATGTATCACACGACACATTCATATTGTGACCCCCGGTGACCTGACCTCGCTGTGACCTGACCTGGTATCAGTGACCTCAGATAGCAAAGTATGTGTTTGACGAACAATGTACCATCGATGGTTTTCAATAAATTACCAATTTACTCGCTTTCACAGCACATTTCTTGAATTGCCTGTGAACGGTGAAAATCTGACCTTTGACCTGACCTGTGACGTCATCGGTTTGACCTAGGTCAATGAAATTTGGGGACAAGGTAGTTCCCGGGTGGGGCTATCGAACGCCGTTTGAATTTTGAAAATCGGCCGGTAACTTTCCGAGATCTTAGGGGGGGGGCCGATACGGCCCCCCCCCTACGGGTGGTAGGGTCCGCCGGTAGCCCTACTGGGCGCGGGTTAAGTGTGGCTGCTATGGTTTTTTTTTCGGGGTGCTGATCACGAATACCATGTAAATTTTGATCACAGATGATGTCTTCATGCATTTAGACCAGGTTGGGTCAGGTCAGGTCAACCAGTAGGGTTCCTGCCGGGTATTCGTAGTCCGTATCAACCGCCTCTGACAGCTTTGTAAGACGTAACATGTTACAAAGGCACCAAAACTACTTCGTAAATGTTCAAATGGTTGCGAATTTCGAATTGAGTTCCAAAAACTAGCCTAGAAAACATGTAAAACTCGAAAAAGTGGATCGAGATCATCAAAGGTCAATGACCTGACCTGACCTTCAGGTGACCTTGACATCCACCCTAATGCATGGGAGCAACAGCAAATCACATGTCTGAACGCTTGAAACCACGAAAAGACTGCAAACGCGCGGCTAATGCGAGCCGACTCCTATGTACGACGAATCGCGATTCCGGCCAAACATGGTTTCGAAAAGTAGGTCACAGGTCAAAGGTCATTTGGATCAGGGTCATGAAATTTTCGGGGTAGGTGTACAATTTATGAACGCGCGGGTACAGAATGTTTGGTCGCGATCTGCTGGTTTTTACGCGAGTTAGTTGCGAAAAACCGTAAGGGGTTGCATCAACAGTTCGGGCGTCAACTGTTGGGGGGGGGGGGGGGGTGTGTGATTGCACTTGGTCCGAAACAACTGCTGTTGGCGGTTACTCAGTAGTCCACCTACCTGCACTTCCTCACCCTCGCTGTGCCAGCTTTGTCATGACCGATTGACACTCATTTCAATAGGTCTTAACATGTTCCCAAAACTGCTTGCAATGCAACATTCGCCTATCTAGTGCGTTTTATTTCCACTGATGATTGGGTATGTACCTACTTTTGCTCTTGATTTATAAGCCGGTATCTGGGAGTGAATATTGAAGTCAAATGAGCTGGCTATATTCGCACATCCTTGATCTATGCCGTCGCCGGATGCGCGCCCGATCTACCCGACCGACGGCTCTCCCCGGCGCGCCTCTGACGTCACCGACTGCAGCGGACCGCCGCCGTCGGAAACATGAGGCGGTGCGCCCCGCGCCTGATTTGTCAGCCGGAACTCATCCCCACCTGAAGATCCATGTGATCAACGTAAAAGACGCAGCCTGGCAAATATAATTATGTATTACGTATATGTAATGCTAGCGCATGATTGCACCTGAACAATGGCAGATGCGGGATGCCAGATAGGTAGTAGGTAAGGTAGAAGTACCTGTGAACAGGCATCCTACGCTTTAGCGATTAGTAGGTAACTATCTATAGGTCCGGTCGACAACATCTTTCCGCGTCCCTTGTCACTTCTCAGTTTTTTTTTTGACTCATATAAAAACTGAGTAGCAGTCCTTAACAGATTGTTGGTTTATCAGCCTGGATAACAAGGACGGTCCTTTCAACTTACCATGGGTTTTTAAATGTTCCAATATAAATTATTTTGTAGTACTTTAAAGGGACTATCCCACCTTTAACATGGGGTTTGAGTTGAGATAGCCAAGTTTGCGGCGAGGTTCAGAAACCACTATCTATCTAGGTTGCAACCCCCGCGGCCTCTTGGTGTTGAAGAAATTCGTTCCCTTCATTTGAAAATGGGCCTTGTACAAGGCCCTATCTTCAACATGGAGCGACCGTTAGTGTGACGTCACCTCGTTTAGTCATTCTGATTTAAATGGGTTTGTTCGTTGATATACATCGCTTAAAACTTGGTCTGAATTTTGTTGTGGTGCCTACAGAGTAAAAAGAATCAGCTTTATGACAGTAATGTGGCCTGGGGAAGGAGGTAATCTTGGGCTGTGACGTCACATATTTTAAAGTTTGTGTTTGGAATATGGGAAGCCTAAGATGTTTAATGAAAAATAAATGCCAGAACCGTGTTCCTGGTCATCTAATCTATAAAGTCGGGCACAATTTAACTGGTTTTAACAACATTTTAGAAGGTGGGATAGTCCCTTTAATGGTCCTACTAAAAAGAAACGTTCAAGAAAAATAAAATCTATCTGAGCATGTATAGGTAAATGCGTGCACGGATACTACCACCTGTGTCACCTCTGACATGCATAAATAAAGCGACACAATATTTAGCACATGGTGCAAATACAGAATGCATGCGTCGAATAGCCAGAGTTTGGCCTTTAAATGTCGCTCAAACATCAAATGTCTTCCCTGAATTTTCGCGTTGGCGCTTGACTGACTGTGATCTGGCAGCTAACTCTGAAATTACCCTTTTTATTATCAGACAGTGGTTGATCAAATAGAAATAACATTACTCCAATTGTGCACTCGTCTCCCCTAAAAATGTTGGTCGCAAGCAAAACGTCGATTCCACTTCGAAATTATCTCTGACCTAAATCGATCATGTGAAATCTTAAAGATTTGTGCAATTGCTGTCTCATGATGACCAACGCGGCCAGTAGTTTTCCAAAGCTCCGTCTAAATACATGAGTTAGTGTCGAGTCACTCTCGCCCCAAATCTTCCTCCCGCGAGCGAAGTCGAAGGACTTACAGAGATAACCGTCGGATCGGAAATGCTCGTTTGTTTGATAAATGCCGTTTAATATCTGAGCCAGTAGCCTGGGAGCGAACTTTGTTCTTTTGGTCACCATGAAGCCGACATTATATAAAAAACAGCGGGGTCGTCGTCCACTTTTCACAATATCTCGTGATCTAGTCCATCTCCACCGCTGTCATCGCGCGATAAGGACGGTAGGTATGAAAACGAGGTGACCACTGTCGTCATGGCCACTGCATCAGTCCCAGTGCGGCGAGCAGCACCATGGAGATGGCGACAGCAGCCAGCACCGCACGGCCTCGGCGCCTGCTGCTCCTGCTGGCACCGCTGCTGCTGGCCTCCCTCCTGACGCCCAGTCTGGCCGTCTCAGACCCCGGGCTGCCCACCGAGCTCGGCGCCGACTGGGACTGGGAGTTCCTGAGCCTGTGGCCCAGACTGCTGCACATCCGGCGCCAGTTCGACCGGCACGGCTTCCCTGTGAAAAAAGACGTTCGGTCAGACACGGCGGCAGGCAACAGCACCGGGTCAGGTGAGATGAGATCTCATTTCGGAGGGAATGACAAATAGTTTATTTACAACGAAGCCATAAGAGCAGCCTGCAGTGTTGTAAGACAGAACTTGTATGTGTTGCAGATAATTGGGGATTTTTAAGATGTCATAGAGCGTTAACACGTGAGTACGTATATTAAGTACATAAAGCTACCTTTGACAGGTGTGTATAAACCAATTAAACATTGTAATGGTTCTTATCAATCTCAAATAATGTTGCGTAAGCAAGCAGCTAGCTTAACCCTATTAGTGGCAGGGGGGGTTGTTTTTATCCACCCCTCAGGTTTTTCGGGAATATCTCCGAAACCGCTGAAGCTACGATGCTGAAATTTTCTGACTTTTCCTAAAACTAAATTGCGCACATTCCCTGAAAATTTCAAGTTCATAACTTTACCAGGGGCGGCTCCAGAGCACTGGGAATTGGGGGTCCTATTCGTGAAGCGAGTCATTTGGGCGAAGATCACGATGCTGCACCAGTTTTACGAACAGTGAATGAAAGGTATCATGTGATAACATATACAGTTATTGTGCATCCTCTTTTGACACGTTTTTGCTATAATAGGCGGATCCAGGCGTCCAAAAAGGGGGGTTATGTTTTACCTCCCAACATAGGTGCCCTGACACCGCCTATGCATGACCAATACAATTGTAGTCGTTCTCTCATAAGAAAATTGTAACATAACAAGACCATTACCACCCTTTTTAGAAACAGTACCAACAAAAACCTTATTTACTATACTTTTTGTGTACCCCCAATCTCAATGATCTGTATCCGCCTATGATTTTTGAAAATGCATATTTTTAGGATCCATGTGAATTCCTGGTTCATTCTCTATCGATCGGCAAAAGTTGCGTTAAGATTGGTTCAGAAACCTGGCCGTGATAAACAGTCTAAAATGTATCTGCAATTTGCCCGTTTTTACCCCCTCTACCCCCCTATTGACATTTTTTAGTTTTTATTTTTTAGAAATGTAGATCACGTTGAGCGAAATCGAATGCCGTTTGAATTTTGAAAATCGGCCCGTTAGATCTTGAGATATCAAGGGGGGGGGGTCGTAAACAGCCCCCCCTGCCACTAATAGGGGTAGCCAGGAGCCTGCCACTAAGGGTTAACATTAAATGACTGGTTCTAAAAATGGCGTCAACATTTTTAATGTACGTTCCGGTTAAAGGGACCCTCCCACCTTCAAAAAAGTTAATGAATTGGCATAGAAGTGATGTCCCTTGGTTCAGAAAGAGCGAAAACGAATATCTACCAAATTTCACCGAAAAATATTCACTGGTTTTCAAGATATTAGACTTTTACTTTTGTTTACTTTTTGGGATCTCCCCTGTTACAAGCGACTTTATTTGGAAGCAATAATTTGGCAGCTCTAAAGTGCGGCAGACGTTGCGCGCAAAGCAGCGTATACCACCACGTGTTAACGATGGTTTTAGTCTAAGATTTAAAAGTCGTTAGATCTCCGCTGACGTCACAAATTCTAAGGGGGCATTCCAATGCATTAGCCCCTTAGAATCCGAAAACTGCAAGTTTGAAATTCCATATCTTCGAATTAAAGCATTTTTCGATGTTGTGAGTGCCCAAACCGGTATTTGCAGGCCATGGCCACCAATTTGGCTATCTCAACTCAAAACTAATGTTAAGGTGGGAGGGTCCCTTTAATCATTACCTCGCGCTGGGTCCATGCTCGGCGCCAACCGCGTCGCGGGCCGGGGCCGCGTTTGAACACACCCTCTCTAGCTCGGCTGCTGGACCGGGTACAGTGACATGCAGTTAGCGGCATTCAAAAGAGCGTCAAGCATCGTGATAAGCTCATTGGTCATTTTTTTATGTCAGGTCAAAGGTCAGAACACCAGAGGCCATCAAAGATCAAATTTTGCCTGTTTCAACATTTTTTAAACTAATCGGAGCATAACTCGGGAGACAATAGAGCTACAGCGCCGCCGAAAAGCGCATTCAATAGCTCTTTTAAAGGGACTATCCCACCTTTAACATGGGGTTTGAGTTGAGATAGCCAAGTTTGCGGCGAGGTTCAGAAACCACTATCTATCTAGGTTGCAACCCCCGCGGCCTCTTGGTGTTGAAGAAATTCGTTCCCTTCATTTGAAAATGGGCCTTGTACAAGGCCCTATCTTCAACATGGAGCGACCGTTAGTGTGACGTCACCTCGTTTAGTCATTCTGATTTAAATGGGTTTGTTCGTTGAAAAATCGCTTAAAACTTGATCTGAACTTTGTTGTGGTGCCTACAGAGTAAAAAGAATCAGCTTTATGAGAGTAATGTGGCCTGGGGAAGGAGGTAATTTTGGGCTGTGACGTCACATATTTGAAAGTTTGTGTTTGGAATATGGGAAGCCTAAGATGTTTTATGAAAAATAAATGCCAGAACCGTGTTCCTGGTCATCCAATCTATAAAGTCGGGCACAATTTAACTGGTTTTAACAACATTTTAGAAGGTGGGATAGTCCCTTTAACACTCTTCCCGAAACATGCCCTCAGATTTGATCCAAGATCAACGATTTAGCCCCCATAGGAAAAACTCTTAAAATGGCCGTTTTTTTAAATGTTTTCTGCAACAACTTTCGACTCAAGAAAGGCACGACATTGCTTTTGCCGGCATCGTCTACCTCCTGAAAGTTTGACCCAAGTTCAAGGTCATGAAATGACTGGAAAGAGTCATGCTGCATTTCAGTCGATCCGTTCGTCAAGCTGAACACATCTGAGGTGTTGTCATTGCTTTAGCATGTCTCTATATAAAGTTATTGTAAAAAATTACTGCTGGAGACCTTTCATGACCTGAGATGACCTCAGGGACATAAATAGGAGTCACGGGTGCAATTTTCCGATTCAGTCTATCATGTTTACCTACTTGTATTACGATGTGTGAGAGTGTTTAGTATGACGTTCATTCAAAAGAAGCGCATTTCAATTTTCACCTACGGACTTCTAATGGAGAGGTCGCAAAATTGATCTGACCTTAGGTCACCGAGATCAAAGCTATGAGATATATATTTTATGCATACTGTTGCTCTTATCAGTCGCTTAACCCTATTCCTGGCGGGGGGGGGGGGGGGGGCACGAGCCCCCCTGCGGTTTTTTGGTTATTTCTCCCAAGCGCGTTGAGCTAGGAAGCTCAAATTTTCTGACTTTTCCTAAAAGGCTTCTACGCAACATGTCTGAAAATTTTGAGTTGATCTGACCTCAGGTCAGGTCACCAGAGGCGGTTTGGTGACCATACCTCAGAAAAGTTTGCAATCACGCCAGAGCTAGAGTTTTTGACCGATCGATTTCTTCTCTTCAGGCTTTAGTTAGGGTACCAGTATGTGCAATTTGTTTATCTTGGAATTTTGATATCGGTGACCTAAGGTCAGGTCAGTTTCGCGACCTCCCCATTATAAGTCAATGGGGGAAAAATCAACTCCCTGTTTTTACCACTAAAACGGGTCGGAATGGCCCCATATACCATACATGACTTCATATACGATCAACCTTCACTACCTTGAGGTCTCTTTTGCTGTTGGGTAGCTGTGAGGTCATGTGACGTCATCAAAGGTCACCAAAGGTTTTTGGCCAATAACTCCGTACAGGAACAAGATACAGACGCGTGGATGGTCTCATTGTGTTCAGCTCGTCAAGACGCATCGAATGATATACATGATGACCTCGAGGTCACGTGACCTGAGGTCAACCTTTGACCTTGACCTTTCGAGGTCAACAACCTTTCGAGGTCAACATATATATCATTCGATGCGGATTGACGAGAGGATCACGATGATGCCCTTAGTTTGTTCCTAGCTTGACTAATTCGAAAGTTATTCGAGAAAAACTCTCTCCATATCTAGCGCCGCCATTTTGACTTTTTCGACCCCTGTGACGTCATCTTTGACCTGACCTGAAAATGACCTTAGTAAAAATTGTAGATCTTGACCGTGCGTATCCGATGCCGTTTACCGTTTGTCGCTGCGATGTGTAGTTTTTGAGATCTGAAGGGGGGGCCGAATCGGCCCCCCGCCAGTTTCTTGTCCCGGCGGAGCCCGCCAGAAATAGGGTTAAACTTTCACAGTGGTTGTTCAGTCGATGAAGCTATGGCAAGCATTACCTATCATCTTTTTTTCTGAGGAAGGGTCTTTTGAAGTGACATGGTGATCTGACCTCGAGCGACTTGGGAACTGGGTCTTAAATTTTCACAACATATGCAAAAAGATGCATGGACAGGAGTACCTACCGAACTGTCTATATGTTCTATATATGCCTTCGTGATGGCCATTGCAATGATATGTACAACTTTAGCCAAAGGCTGTGTTGTATTTTGTCAGACAAGTAATACAATTGCTTAAATACCTTCCTTCAGGGTATCTATTCGATTTTATTGAATCATTTCGGAATAGGCTAGAAGACTTTGTGTTGATTATGTTGATTAGCTTTTATGCATATTAAGTACATATCAATTTCATTAGCATCCTCAACAAAAGTCGCCGGTATAGCAGAAAATGATGCGTGCAGGTAGGCCATTTTTATAGCGCTAAGTATAGCAGACCATTAAGCTTTAAGCCGAGCGGATTCTTTTAAAAATGGTGAGATGGAATTGATGAAGCGAATCAGGAGAGCTTCTCGACTGAACTTAATTAGAAAGCACGATTCACTTTAATCGAAAATACCAAGCGTATTTTTCCTGCCTTTCTCTGCGTTTCAAAGTAATTGTTTCTGTAGGACAGTTGATTGAGCTCCGAAGGGCGCCCTCAGTCTAATGAACGGGACCTCACACGATGTCTCAAGCCTCGCACCAGACGTACTCATATCATCAAACCATCTGTTTATCTTCTTCGGTAAGGCGTGATGTAATTAAAAAAAAGACTGAAGTGGATTCGTATGACGTTATCACTTGCGAACAATCCACTTAGCAACAAGAGCCGTAGAGTACTAATATACTGATGTGGAAGTATGAAGTCATATGAAGACGCGATGATTTACCTATACACTTACAGTGTATATATTCTTCTATACCCACCTCTACGAGCATGTCTATCATTTAGGGTTTAGGCTGTGAGCAAAGGAGAGGAGAGCGGGGACTCTAAAGCGGCGGCATATGATACACTGTTCATTTGGGATAGGTCAGTTTAGGTGTGGAACTTATAATTCATGCCAAAGTCAGGTATGGTCAGGTCAAAGTCAGGTCGGAATGTTCCTCGAAAGTGGTCGTGCTGCATATTTTCCGATTAGGCAGCTAATTCTAAATAAATCGTTGCCGCATTTCTCAAATATCAACTTCCAATGAATCGGGAGTTACTGACGAAAAACTTAGATGACTAATGACTGCAATTTTCAAGTAACCTTATGGCCGTCATATTACGTCAGCCTAGTCAAAGCCTAGTCCAAATGCAAAAAAAAAAAATAAAAATAATGGCGGACGTCAAACATATAGGTACAAATAGGTACCTATATATAGGTACGTATAGGTACAAATAGGAATTAAATCATGATTTAAAGGGACCCTCCCACCTTCAAAAAAGTTAATGAATTGGCATAAAAGTGATGTCCCTTGGTTTTGAAAGATTAAAAATGAATATCTACCAAATTTCACCGAAAAAGCTGTTCCTAGCGACTTTATTTGAAAGTGCGGCACTTGTTGCGCGCAAAACAGCATATACCGCTGCGTGCTACCAAACGTTTTAGTAAAACATTTAAAACCGTTAGATCTCCGCTGACGTCACAAATTCTAAGGGGGCATTCCAATGCATTAGCCCCTTAGAATCCGAAAACTGCAAGTTTGAAATTCCATATCTACGAATTAAAGCATTTTTCGATGTTTTGAGTGCCCAAACCGGTATTTGCAGGTCATGGCCACCAATTTGGCTATCTCAACTCAAAACTAATGTTAAGGTGGGATGGTCACTTTAATATTTCATTTCATTTGACATTCCAAATTTACTTATGTTCGTGAGGTTGCCAAAATTTTGGACCGTGCAGAGGTTTACTTATGACGACGTAGTATGCCATGGAGTTCAGTGACCCAACTCCTGACACATCACACAACCTTAAAATGTAGTTAGCAGAGGCGGATCCAGCTCAGAGTTTTTTTTTTTTGGGGGGGGGGGGCAAACCATAACAATTTATCGATTCTTTCCATGCATCGTCCATTGGCGTAATGTTAAAATCATGCCGTTTGGGGGGGGGGGGACAAATGCCCATTTTGCCCCCCCCCCTGGATCCGCCACTGGTATTTAGTGCTAAAACTTCTGACTTAACCCGCGCCGGGCCGGTGCTCTGAGATTCCGCGCCGGGCCGGGGGGGGGGGGTGTCTGAACACCCCCCTTCTAACTCGGCTCCTGGGCCACGTAGTGACACGCAATAAGCGGCAATCGAAAGAACGTCCAAAATAAGGACGAAAACATTTCGGTCATTTTTTGGGTCAGGTCAAAGGTCAGGTCACCAGAGGTCACCAAAGGTGAAATGTTGACTATTTCAACATTTTGGAAACTGCCGACGGCTATCTCGGGACCCGATAGAGCTACAGCGCCGCAAAAAAGCGCATTCGATAGCCCTTTTACAGACCTTTCTGAGTAATGGTCTCAGATTTGACCTCAGGTCAACGGTTTAGCATCCAGAGGGCAAAAACTCCAAAAATAGCCGTTTTTACGAAAAGTATTTTTTCGGCAATAACTTTTGACTCAAAAGAGCCATGACATTACTTTTGCCAACATCGTGTTTCTCTCGTCGAGACGCGTCGAATGAACTATAATTTGACCTTGAAAGGTCAACTTGAAAATTTAACCTCAGGTCAAGGTCATGACCTGACCGGAAAAGGTCATGTTGCATATCAGTCGATCTGCAACGTCGAGCCAAACACATCTAAGGCGTTTTCAGCGCTCTAGCACGCCTCTATCAGAAGTTATTAGCGAAAAACTGTTAGATTCTGTTCGTGACCTGAGATGACCTCGGGGACATAACGAGGGGTCACAGTTGCCATTTTCCGGTTCAGTATGTCAATTTTACCTACATCTCGATGTTTGAGAGTGTCTAGAATGGCGTTCCTGCAAAACAGACGCTTTTCAATTTTCTCCCATTGACTTATAGGTAATTGAGAGGCCGCAAAATTGACCTGTCCTTAGGTCACCGATATCAAAAGTCTGAGATATACATTTTATAGATAATGCTGCTCATATCAATCGCTGAAAGTTTCAAGGCAATCGATCAATCGGTGTAGGTATGACGAGCATTCTTATTTTTTTCTGAGGTGAGGTCACTTGGCGTGACCTGGTGATCTGACCTAAGGCGACCTGGGTCTGAAATTTTCACAACATGATGTGCGGAAAAGATGCACGAACAGGTGTGCCAAAAACGGCGCTGCGAAAAACCGCAGGAGGGGGGGGGGGTGTGTTCAAACACCCCCGGCCCGGCGCGGGCAAATTAGATCCACGTTATTGTTTACATCTTATATTTCTAGATTGGCAGTTAGTTATGTCAAACATCAAACAACAACAACCGTTTCAATGTTTCAGACAGCAATCCTGCACAAGTCAGTTATCGACCCTTGTTGTCCGTAGACGGTCGGATAGGTCGGCCTGCCCGATCAATATCATCCATGTTGTGAATCCTTCTGCTGACCGTCCTTCTCAGTCGTGTAACTCCCCCTGCTGTCTGTCCTCAGTTGTGTAACTCCCCCTGCTGTCTGTCCTCAGGTGTGTCACTCCCCCTGCTGTTCGTCCCCAGGTATATATCTCTCCTTGAATTTCGCCCTCAGTGTAACTCCCCCTACTATCCGTCTTCGTCAGTCGTGTGACTCCCCCTGCTGTTCATCCTCAGGTGTGTAACTCTCTCTGCTCTCCGTCCTCAGGTGTGTAACTCTTTCTGCTCACCGTCCTCAGGTGTGCTGAAGACACTGGAGTTGGAAGATGAAGACGGCGTCTCCCAGACAGCAGAGGCCGCTCGCCGACGTGCGCACGAGCCCACGCCGCGAGACGAGGCGGTCGCCCGCACTCTCGGGCCGTTTATCACGCCGATTGCCAGCCCGCAGCTCAGTGCCGAGTGCTACACTGACACGAGGAAGTATCTGAGCAGCATCTTCAGTGAGCCGTGGGCTCTGCGCATGTTCGACGCCACCGGAAAACTACCGGACGGCATACTGAGCGGCAACCTGTTCCCGTGGGGAAACTGGGACGAGTGTCTCAATACGACAGCATACTACACGACAACCAAGCCCATCACGGGAAAAATAGTTGAGCATACCTTCTCGGGAAAATATTGTTCAGTATTCCTTTCTAAGACGTTTGGTCCAATTTCCAATGGACCTGCTACATTATCAAGAAATCATATAGGCTTAGCACCGCTTATTCCAGTTCTTCCGACTAGATTATATTCAGCCGGTGTTTGCATTCCGTCTAGCTGCACAAGTCTGGAGCTACTTATAGGCCTTAACGCAGCTTTGCATGCTCAAGGAGTTACAGCTGCTACCACCGAAAACATGTGCCACACGCAAGACGAGAAGAATGAACTTACACCGGAAGCCATTGTCATGATAAGCATTCTTTCGTTGGTGGCATTCTTCATGCTGGTGGGAACGATACTTGACGTACTGACTGCCAAGTTTGCCGATTGGAAGCCCAGTTTGTGGGTGAAACGCCTGCCTCAGACACTTTTCAAAGTCTTCACTGCGTTTTCAGTGTACACCAATGGACGGAAACTGCTGGACACTTCAACCACTAAGGACACATTGAGCTGTTTGCACGGCATCCGCTTTTTCTCAATGACGTGGGTCATACTCGGACATACCTATTTGTTTTCAACATTATTTGAAAACCAGAACACGTACAAAGTATTGACGTACTTCGGAGACTGGTTTTTCGGGACCATCGCTAATGCAAGTGTGTCCGTTGATTCTTTTTTCTTTCTAAGTGGTCTTCTGGTGGCGTACATCGCCATGCGCAACATCGAAAGAGCAAATGGTAAGCTGAACATAGTGATGTACTACGTGCACCGATACATCAGGCTCACACCAGTCTTGATGGCCGTGATCGGATGCGTGGCCACACTGGAAACATACCTCGGATCCGGGCCCTGGTGGAGCATCGCTTCCTCTGGCTTCAGCAACTCCCAAACCTGCCGCGATAACTGGTGGAAGAATATGTTGTACATCAATAATCTGGTAGATATGGAGCGTCAGTGCGTGGCCCAGACCTGGTACATGGCCAACGACATGCAGATGTTCCTGTTCTCGCCTCTTGTTCTTCTCCCTCTCTACCACTGGCCGGTGCTGGGACAGCTGTGGATCATCCTTCTCGTCTGTTTCTTCACCGGCATCAATGCCATGGTAACAGCCATTCACAAGCTCGGTCCGACCGCCTCGCTGCCTGGTGGGGACGATGTCAACCTGCGCTACATGAAGCCGTGGACGCGGGCGGGTCCGTACCTGGTCGGCCTCTACATGGGCTGGGTGTTGCACAAGATCCGCGGTCGGAAGATCGTCCTTCCGGTGCCCGTGGTGGCCATTGGCTGGCTGACGGCCTCGCTCACCGGCTGTCTGATCGTGTACGGTCTCTTCGACCAGCCGACCGTGCCGCCCCAGGCGACCAACATCATCTACCCCATGCTCAGCCGCACCGCCTGGAGCGTCTGCCTGGCCTGGGTGGTGTTCGCCTGCGTCACTGGCTACGGCGGCGTTGTCAACTCTATATTGTCGTGGAAGGCGCTCATTCCGCTCAGTCGCATAACGTACACGTCATATCTCGTCTCCATAGACGTGCAGGTGGTCTACTGGCTGGGTAACAAGTCGCCGCAGTACCTGGATCACCTGGTGCTGGTGTACCAGTTCCTGGGATCGCTGCCAGTCATATTCACCATTGCCACCATGTTCTCGCTGGCGTTCGAGTCTCCGATGCTGGCGTTGGAGAAGCTGATGTTTCCACAACGCAAGGCGCCACCCACCGCCACCGCCAAAGGACCTTCTTCTAGCGGGGTCTCCTCAACGGACGCCAAACTCGGTCCGCCGGAAGGGCTGGGGCACATCAACAAGGCCTTTGACGGTGACACAGGTGATACTTCAACATCCGGAAAACTGCAAAATGGACGCCCCATCGCTGAAGTCACTGAAGAAGCAACAGCGAAGGAATGATGGCACCAGTTAGAGTGAGAACTAGGACGGATTAGACTCAGTGTTATACCAAGAGCCATGGGGATCAACATAGTCACAAATGAGCTTTATTTATGAGATGTCAATATATTACAGTGTTCAATTTTTTGTTTGCATTGTATGTGCTGTTGCTGTCAGGCTTGTGTTATCCCACACAAGCACGGTAGTCCGATTGTTTGCTTCGAGGCAGGGTGAAGATGTGTGTGTTTCGATCTCCCTTTAACTCGGCTCCCATGTGCCACATACCAAGACGTGATAGACGACTTTCTTCAAAATAACGTCAAAATGCATGAGAAGATCACTCGATAATGTTTACATAGGCCATGCCGCAGTTCAGGTCTAGAAGAGACGGCAAATAAAAGAGTCGTGTCTCCTGATTACTAAAGGCGTATCTAGGGAGGCGTGGTGTGGGAGGTTTTTCGGGTTTGATTCCCGGTGCCGCCTGCATCTCGGTGTGTTTTCCCCATGGCTGCGCCGCGAGGAGTGGGGTGGGCTCCCGCTGCTGCCGTAGCCCAGTGAGGAGAAGGGAAGCTCCTGTAATTGGGCCCAAAGGCTGTTGGAGGGAGGACAAAGAAGCAATAAAGTAATTAGGGTAGGGTGGGGTAATTTGAACATGTGGGGCAATTTGAACATAGTGTGAATAACAGAAAATTACGGAAAATCCATAAGTGGCATGACAATAAGACCAATGAGAGAAATTATCGTAACTAAAAGGGCTAGGGGAGAGTGGGGAGAGTTGTATCATGTCCAAGTTGTATCAGGGCGAATTGTGCCAAACTTATCCAATAGATGGAGCTCTTAACACGACCAGCCGACGAGGTTTTCCGGGCGCCATCTTTCCCTGTTCTGTCGTGTGGCTGGGTGGACGCGTCTCGAGGTGAGAGCCGATTTTATGTTTTTTTAATGTCATTCTAAAAAAATAAGTTGCAAGAAAATGTGTGTTGTGGGCATTTAGATGTGCACGAATTTCAAAGATCTCCGTAGCGGTGGTGAGGGTAGGTTCTAAGGCTTCGTGAGTGAAAATGGATTTCTCCAGCTGTCCGCTGTTTTTGAGCACGAGGATGTTTTTTCCAAGATGGCGGCGAGGTACACGTTGTATCAGAGCCGGGTGGGGCATGTTGTAACATGTATGTAGGGTAGACCGGGGCAAGTCGCCCCGCCGAGGTAAAACGCCTCACCGATGTTTCTCGGAACTGGCAAGGTTCTGGGGAAACATCCTCTCTTCTATAAAACGTGCACTATACGATCATTATATGAGCAGACTGGAAAGAAATTGTGATGACTCTTTAGGGAGATATAGCCAAAAATGTGTTTTTGGAGTGATTTTTATGTTTTGTTGTCAGCTTATGTATCATGGCGTTCTTTTATTGTCCACATCAGGTTAACGACTTTTATGTATTTCGAACAACTATTGTCTAACGCTTATAATGCCGGGCTGGTTCGTGTCAAATTATATCCTCCTAGAGTGCAAGGCGTTGTTCTCTGACCGATTACGTGATGGGGTAAAACGCCCCAGTAGGTTGCGGGGCAAAAAGCCCCATGGGGCGTTTTACCTCATGTGTTGTTCGGACTACCCACTTCCTAATGTTCGGTAGCTGGCGAACGGTATGTTTCTATGCATTTATATGTACTTTTCTCAGCAACTGGATGGCAAAGGAAGTATTTTGTTAACATTTGCATTGCAATGATTTATAATTTGGCCTTATGAGGCAGGTGAAAAACCTGCTCATACAATAGTGTCGTAGCTGAACACCTGATAGGATGGAAGGTGCTAATTTCAGTGCCGTGCCTCCCAAGGTCTAACGGACCTCTCATATAAGATTTAGTCAACTAGCATGTTTAATCTTTAATCTAGAGTATGGGGCTTCTTGCCCCAGGCCATGGGGCGTTTTGCCCTGGGGTTGGGGCAAAACGCCCTATTTGCAGTTGCTTCACAAACCACTTCCTAGCTGGGAGTCCGATCATAAGTGAATGAATTTGAGGGGTGGAATTTAAAGTAAAATGTCCAAAGAACGCATTGAGCACAAATTTGGCCTTCCAGGTGATGTGGGACAAAAGTTATTTAGCAAAATAAATTATCTGGGGCGTCTTGCCCCAGGCTACCCTATGTATGTATGTATGTATGTATGGGTATGTTACTTTTGATCGCGAAAGCTAAGCCCTGGCTCGCGTTTGTAGGTAGCTAGTCAATACTCGTTCTATTTCGGCACAATGAGTTGGCTTCTTTGCTCTTAACGGGCCACTTTTGCGCCTACTCTGTTGATGTTTCGTTCGGATTGCATTGACCTATGTTTGGTCTAATAAAAGTGAAGCCTCTGAGCATATACATTGTATTAACCCCATTTAATGTTGTTGTTATGTTCAAAACCAGAAACAAGCACACTCCCTGAAACGTGAAATAGTGATACAAATTACCCCACCATGTGATACAACTCACCCAAGCCATGGGGCAAGTTGTATCAAAAACATTGTTCTATTCGGCAGACCGTAGAAGAAAAACTGGTAGAGGTAGCGGAAAAGTTACTTTGCACAAAAAAGCAGAAGAATCAAGGAAGGGGATAGTATGGAAATAATGAGTTTATCACGGATAGTTACGAGGTTATGGGTCTCGGAGTAAAAACTGATACAACCCACCCCACTCTCCCCTATCATATGAACGGGGTTTTAAGTTTCAGGGAATGAAGATGTTGACGCACAGTGTAAAAAATCAATTTCACAAGGAAAAACGCCTAACAACACGTCATTGCAACTTCATTGCAGCGCAAAATCTTGCATTGCTAGCGCCTAATACGCAACGGTTTTTGTTGTATAATGACCTAATCGGTGCCTTCAATCCAAGAAATTTACTTTTGAACCCTGTTTTTTAAACTGGCAAAATAACTTTTAGTGTGGGGTAATTTGAACATACTGTGAGAATTTGAATGAAGACAGGGATAGCTCCGAAAAAAACAACGCTCCCAGTTTTTTTTTTTTGCCAATATTTTCGACCCAAGGCAGTAGCAGATAAGTGATGCCAGTTTTAGAAAATTTACGTCTAATATCCGTCTAATGTCCGGCATTTTTGTTGATTTTCCGTCCAAAAATGTTAAAGTCAACTATTTGTCCAAATATGTCCGAAAATTATGCAGCTATCAACACTCAAAACCGTCATTTATATTGCTTATCATGTAATTTTACCAGCCGAAAAGTGTTCATTATATTGAGAGCTTAGCAAGCTTTCCATTCGCCAATTAATGCTATGCACGATTACTTTACCAGTATAACGCCTTTTGGGGCGACTAACGGAGCGAGCGAGAGGGTGGGCCTTGCACGTGCGAAATTGCGAGGGGGTACCTCCAACTGACTTGTGCACGGCACCCTACTAACTGGTCTCTAGCGATGTGCCAAATTTGGGCACAATCGGCCCAGCCGTTCTCGAGATCTGGAAGCGGCACCCTGCACGTGCGCACGTGCAAAATGGGTCCCAACTGACTTGTGCACGGCACCCTACTAACCGGTCCCGAACCGTGTACCAAATTTGAGCGCAATCGGTCCAGCCGTTCCCGAGATCTGGAAACGACCCCTGCACGTGCGCACGTGCAGCAGCACCCCAACTCTGGCACATGTATATGCAGTGCCTAGTGGGTGCCTACCTACATGCCAACTTTCAGCGCAATCGGCCAAGTAGTTACCGAGATATTGCAACAATTACAAAACTGACACCTCTTCGTTTTGCACGTGGCACGTGCATAAGGGGTCACCCACATGCATCGGGAATAGTCCAATACTTGGTAGAAGGAATGAAGCTACCCTACAAAAATTACCGCGTGTAAATCGGTCAAGTGGTTGCTGAGATATAAGCCTCTCAAAAGCGTGACCACGGCCGGCCGGCCGGCCGGCCGGCCGGCTGCTCATACTCAGAAATTTCCGTTAATCTAAGGAAAGACTACGCTCGCTTCGCTCGCTCCGTAACAAAAAGCGCTGAAGTGTAGCAAGCCATCGTCCAATGTTGTCCAGTCTGCTACCTTTGTCCAACCAATTCCGAATTGGACATTGGACAAAATCAGAACTCCAAATGTCCAGGTTTCGATTGGCACCACTTTAACAGATGTAGTACGGTTGGGAGAGTTTTTATCGAACAAAAATGATAGACGTTCTCTTAATTGAAGAGGGGCGAATTCTGTCAACTGATCGGTGTGCAGCGTGCAGATATTGATACTCTGCAACTGTGACTTTTGCTGTTGTGTTGATTTTTCAAGTGAAGGTATGTTAAGAATTGTTCTGCCTATTTGTTTATGGGTCAAACACCATCGGTGCTGGCGAGACTATCGTTTTTATGACAGGTAAAGACAGTATGTTCAAATTACCCCACGGTGGGACAATTTGAACACACCGTGACTTGGTGGAGAAGTGAGGCTATGCTATTCAAGGTATGCTCGGCTCGTCCAAAAATGAGGCTTGCATGGTGAAAGCAAGTGACACTTGCGCTACTGAAGCAGTTTTTCTTCATCCAGGGTTGAACTGGAATTTGGTACAACGGAGAAGACGTAAAAATATGTTCAAATTACCCCACACTACCCTAAATAAGTAATTGAGTAATAAATGCACACCTATCCAGGGAAGATACACTCTCTGATATCTATCACAAGGAATTGCCTCTGCGCATTGTTTATCGAATCACAGTACATGATCTACTGCACTCATCAATGCTTTGAAGTGGTATACCCCTTATAAAGGTCGGTATACCGAACTGGATACGGACTTCTTATGTTACCTTTGACTTCATAATTTAAAACGAAGTGTAAGTAATAGTAATTGGTACGGGGACCCGCAGCTGCTACTGTACACGAGCCCAAAGTCTAGCCGTCTGTCCTGTCCAATAACAAGTGATAACATTGATATCGACTGCCTGTCCATGTACAAGAGCAGCTGAGGTTTTCTGTGCGTGCCCTCTGACAGCTTATCGTTGTTCCCTGTGAGTGTGCTGGGACCTAAGGGTCGCTGTACAGTAGCAACTGTGGGTCCCCGTACCTGAATGCAATTAAACAATATACATAGCTTAAATTATATTAAACCCCACTCATTAATTAAGTCTCAAATAAAACTGATTAAATTCCACTCCAT